TGCCCGCTCTACCCCACTGCCTGCATTTAGAAACCATCCAGGTTGTCTTTATACATGAAACACCCATCTCACACATCAAAAGCAGCAACACCATAAGCTCACTTGGGTTACACCTCTTCTCCCCAAGTTCAAAGCTTCTGTGAGCAGAGAAATAAACACATTTAATGCTGGCTAGCTAACCCTCTTCTCTGCAGCACACACAGGGCCTCCAAGCTGCTTGCTTCCTGTTCAAACACATAAACCCCGACTGAGGACAAAGCCACTCGGATACAGGCTTCCTTCAAAATCTAAGGTGCGCAAGCCATCTCCTTCCCTGCCCTCAAATAGCTTCTAAATAGGAAGACGGTTCAGATGAAGGAGTAAGCAAGAGGCAGCAGGCCCACCATCAGCAGAACAGCACTGCTCACGGCTGCTCCCGCAGCATCTGCTTCGACATCACCCCGGGGCTGGGAGAGGCATAGCCACCGCCTGCTGCAGACCCCGTCAGCCGGAGAGCGAGAGCCTCCCAGCCTTGCAGAAGCAGCAGTGTCCATGCAGAGGACGGGTCGCTGCTTGCCCCAGAAAGCGTGCATAGGCACCCCACGTCTGAGGTGGGGAGCTCCCAGAGCTCTGACTCACAGGCAAGCACTTGTGCCCGTGACAGCGCTTGCAGAGAAGCCCTGAGTGCTCCCAGCCTGCGTCGAGACGTATACCCACAGGGAAGGGCTGCGCTACTGTTCTGGTAGCTACTGGGGACGAGGTTGTCATCTTGTCTTGATGCTTCAGCAATATAACAAACAAAATACCGCTGGTTCTTCCCAAACCGAACTACTTCTTAAGAAAAATCATCATAATCAAGACTTCATTCAAGGGTTCAGCACAGACAGGGCTGAATTTTGAGCAGAACAAAGGGGCAAACCTCACATGCTGCAGCAGCCCAGATTTCAACCGAATCCATTGTCATCACCTGCAGATCAGGTCAATCCCAGCAAAACCCAAAGTTGTACATGATCTGAAGGAGGGCTATGGGGGCTCTTGCTATTCAGTATCTACCAATAAACGTATTTTGATCCCCACCGTATGTACCCTAGCCCCCCAGACAGTTAGCTTCGCGTTGTCTCTTTCTGGCCAAAGAAGAATAATTTAGTTCAGGCCTGGGAACCACCAGTTTCCACAGGTATGGAGAACAACGCTGCAGTGGTGAAAGCCTTTTCTGCCATCCTTTGATCCACAATCACAACATCACGAGGTCTCTTTATTTCCTGCTTAGTTACTTTAGCACTCGCTAAGCGGGATCCCACAGGGCTCTTGCCTCCACCCCGAAGGAAACAGCTCCATGCCTTCCAGAGACCTCACTGCACGACTTTGCCTCGCAGCATGCACACTCCTGAATTATGCTGGTGCCCAGCCTCAGCAGCACTGCTCCTCACCGCAGAGAGCTGCTTTGCAAATACTTCTGTTCCACACATTAGCCACAGCTCTTGGTGCTGCCTGCAAGCCTTGTTTTAAAGGTCTTGTTCCCATTAAATGCACTCGGAGCCAAGACTCCAAGCCCTGTAGCGGACCAAACTGCCTGTACCCATTTTGACTAGCACTGTAAGCCTGTAACAGGTGTCTCTTGCTGGAAAACACTTTGTCTGCAAAAGAAAAACCATTACATCGTAGGTACTTTAAGTTTCCTGGCTCTACCCCACCACAATTTCTCAGGAGCACTCACACTTAACATACACCATCCCTTATGAGCCACAGCACTAAGCTTCAGAAGCCTGGGAGAGGCCCTCTCCATTTGGAAAGGCCAGCTGGTCCAAGAGGAATAGCTTTGTTTAAAGTTGGGCCAACCTCACAGGCTGGAGAGCCCAACCAAACCTGCGTCTGTTGCTTCAGGGCTGGGAAATCCAGCGGAGCGCTGACTCACCAGAAGGAGATGCAGTAATTAAGACAGGCCCTAGCAGCAATGAAAGGCGACTAAGCACGCAAAACATTAAAAGGCAAAATGTTTATGTTTCCTTAAGTGACTTCTCGCCAGGATTCTTTGGTAAGCTCCTCTGTTCCTCCTGGACCACATGAACTCAGAGTTTTCCACGTTACAGGAGTGCCATTTCACCTGAACGTTACTCAGCTCCCCTCCCCTCTGCTGCAGCCATGCCCTTCCCAAACACACGCATACTCCAAGAACTTGGCGTGTAGGTATCCCGGACAGTTAAAGCTACAAACCAGGTCTTATATCAATGGACGCAGCCCTGAAAAGTAGTTAGAATTAAGACTTCTTCCCTTCCATCCTCTAGTGACAGGGTCTACAACTTGGCTGGTCTTGCATGGCAAAGTTTAGCACAGCCAAGAAGCCAGGCTGCTCTTGTTCAATAGCACTAGTGTCTCATGTCTTGCTTAACAGTACGCGACCCCAAGATCAGCCAGTCTCTCCTTCAGAGTTCCTTTAAGTTCCTCCCGAGGCCCCTGTGTCAACCAAGACATAGTGAGAAGTGCTAGGTGTGTTTACTCTTGAATTCACTGTTAGACTTACCAAAAAGACATGATCAAAGATCTGAGTGGGGCTGTCCATCTGCCCAAGGATCACTATCATTTCATTGTCAATGAACTCTTTGAACTCCCGCAGGTTACACACCATCTGCATCTCCAGCTCAGTGCGTATCTGGGTGGGGAGAGGAACACAAGGAAGCCACCTGAAGTTTTCGTTCTGGCCTTTCTTCATGGCATAAAGTCTAGAGCTCTCTAGTTTGCACAACAGCACTTCCAGTGCTGCTCCCTCACCACTCACCTCTTTTGACGTGATGTTCTCCAAATCCTTCTGCATCATGATCTCCCTTAACTTGGTCTTAATTAGCCGTTCTGTGCGTTCCCGCTCAGTTGGGCTATCAGAAGAAAGCAACAGAGTCACTACGAGGGGAAACAAGCTGGACTCATGGCACTTTTTAAACAGGTATTGTATAGACTGGACACTCACACTGCTTCCCCCAAGCATGTCCTCAGCTGGAGGGAATTCAGGTGACTGTAAAGCCCAGTTTAGATTCCCAGTTGTATATGAAAGAGACCAACTGAATGCTCCTAATCCACTGTAGTCATCCAGAGAACCTCTGGTATTTGGTAAAATTTAAATTGGGAAGGCTGCATTATACTCTCCAGAGCAACATCTAAGCCTCCCCCTACCTTTCTTGGAAAGGTAACAGCTCCAAAGCTCCTTACATGGAGAGACGAGGGCAGCTAAGCCTCTGTGCATTCCTCCAGCCTATGCTGCCAGGGGCCTTATCACCAGCTGCAAAAATAGCCTGACTAACACCAGGGGAAGTTGCAACAGAGCAGCAGCACAGAGCCGTCTCATCTTCAGCAGGGACCCAGCAGTAACATCTCGCACCACCTTCCCGTTTCTCTGGAAGGCTGCCAGGGTGGCAACTGCACACACACTTCTCTGCTCCACAAGCGTCCGACTGGTGGTTCACAAATGAAAGTCATGAAAGTTCCTGGTTCTTTTAACCTCACGCGCTATTTCAGGACTCAGTTAAGACAATGCTGTCTAGGTGTCCCCAGGAAATCATTCAATTGCTGCCACCAGGGCAGGGGTGGGTTACATAAAATTTATATATGAAAAGCTACAAGAGAGTATTAGTCTGACAGCCTGCCAAATCTTTTCAGCCACCCTTCTTGTACATTAAAAAACAATCAAGTGTGAAGACTTGTTCACAGCTGAACAACTGCTTAGCATTATTATTCACTCACTGAACTCCAACAACAGGAAATATCTGAGAGCATAAATCAACCAGTGGCACTATTATACTGGGAAAGCAGCTGGGGCTAGTGAAGTCATTTCTTCTACTATGAACTGGGCAACTAAGCCCTCACACTTGGCGTCACATCTGGACACAGACTACCTTTGAGGTTATATGGTATCAGTACCATCAGCAATTACTAATTACAGGGGTTGTAAGCCTTGAATGTTGATACAGCCTATAAATTTTGCCTTTCCAAACTGTCTACCTATCTACCTCAGCCATTGTTTTGGATCACATGTCACCAGACATCCAAGCATTTAGCTGGAGACAGCTTGGGACCTAGACACTGTCCTGTTCCACACTCACAGAGCTCCTCAGAATGAGGAAAAACTGCATTGCTCTTTGTCCCCATTCTTAGGTGTGTCAGATGGATGCTTGTGAGGGTGCTTCTGAGCGTGCAGTCCCAAAAGGCCATTCATAAACACTTTACAGCAAAATGAACAGAGTAAGGAAAAAGAGACCACGTTACTCTAAACACGTGCTCAGACACGTGTAAGAGCAAAGTCCAGAGAAACCTGTTCCTTCCAGAAGACACCAGGCCTGGAAATCAGAGGACAAAACCAGCAAATAGGAAGTCCTGGGTACTAGAACACACCACACCTCTCATTAGTAACATGGGACTTACCTCGCAGAAGCAAAGATCTGCGAGCTTGAAGCCCAGGGTAAACAACTAGACTGAAAACAGAGGTTGGAGGAGATGCAAGGGAGCCCCAGGAGGGCTGAACTTCCAGTGCTGCTGTTGACCTAAGCAGCAGTCCGCTTATTATCTGGACCAGGAAACGTCTCCTCATTAATACCTAAATAAGAGTAATCTCTTGTGGAAACTGTCTCCTCATTTGGAGACTGCAATTCTTGACCGCCGAACACTTTGGCTTAGCAGCGCCAAACCAACTTACACATCTGTGAAGAGGGCGGGCGAGTCGGGCCGGTGGGACTGGACATCCTGCATGGCATTCCACTCGTTGACCGACGACTGGTCGGAGTTGATATGGCTCTCATAGTAACTGACCCACGTGAGGAAGAGGCTCCCTGGGTAGTAATTGTTGCTCCGTGCCACCTCGCAAGCCTTATGTAAACTCTGCAGAGCAGACCTAGAAAAATACTTGCAGGATTATAATTTCTTCTTCAGGCTGGTATCGAGCACAAAGCAGCAGCCAAATCCAGGGTGGTGCTCGTGTCCCATCAGCTGGCACAAACCCCAGTGCTACGTGCACAGCCACCGGCACCGAGCAGGAGGCTGTCCTGCAAGGGTGTGGACAACCACATGCTGCAAGAGCTTCCGTGTCTCAAGTGAAGCACACCAAGAGAAGCCTGGATAGCATCAAAGGTACCCACAATTCAGAGGGCACAGGCACCCGTGTGTCTGGCTCCAAAAACTGCTACAACTATCTAAGTCATAAATAAGATGCACAGAGTTTGTGTCCAAGACAGGGTACTCCGACAGCTCCGACTGTGCCATCAGCTCCTGTGTGTGGGGCAGGGACACCCAGGAATGAGATACGCAGAGCTGCACAACCAAGGGCTTAGGACTTGACTTTGCTGAGGTGTTTAGGTGTCTGCCCTCTCTCACTGCACGAGGGATGTCAGAAGATTCTTCAGCTGCTGCTGGGAAACAAATCCCCCTCTCCTATTTTTAGCTTGTTTTAAATCTTTGACTGGGATCAGAAGGATCCAGGTCAAAATCACTGGGGTGACACAGTAGCATGACACCCTGACAGGCAATGTATTTCTGCAATGCAAAGAAGCTTGAGTCAGAAATACTTTCCTGGCCACTTACATTCTTACATGAGCCACCCTAAAAGGAAAGAAAAATGCAGGCAGCTTCTCTTTCCTTCTCGCTATCACAATGAACATGTTTCACTGGAGACAGAAACTCCTAAAATATGGACAGTGTGTATTTCTTTATTTATGACAAATAAAAAAGTATTTCAAATACATGCTTAAAGCAATTCTGCTTCGGAGAGATTCAAAACAGCAGCCTTTTGCAAGGAAAATTACCCTACTCCTTCCTGCCCCCAGCTGAGACGAAGGTGCGGCTGCAGCAGTGTCAAACTCACTGCTGTACACCAGCGCTCGTATGTTTTTCTTCTTTGCTATCAAACTTCCTTCCCTGTCTCCATAGGAGACTTCTGGCTGCTTGAGTAGGTCTCAAGACACCAATAATGCAAAGCAGCACCTGCTTTTTAAATGCTTAAGCAGCCAGAACACCTTGGAAGAAGGATCACTGGGACAGATTATAGTAAGTACTTACCACATTGCCTGTACAGACACTGGCTTGAATATATGAACCCTGTTGTCTGTCGATACGCTGAACCCTCTGGAGATGAAAAAAGTCACAGTAAAAATGTGTCACAAAACCAACTTTTCAGTTAATAATTGACAGTTTGTAGCACATTAGAACAGCAAAGGAGTAGCCCTATGCATACACTGCTGAGTTCAGCTAGCGAACAGATCAAAATAGCACTCTAAAAGCTCTAACATAACTTTTTAAAGCAGCTGCTGTTTGGGAACGAAACTAAGACAGTGGGATAGTGCTGGGCTGTGCTGTTTACCTTGGCAACACAAATTCAGTGTCACAGCTGGGAGCAACAGAGTCCAGCTAAAGTGATCCTGGGGCAGCTACCAAGGAAAGAAAAGTCATTCCATGCACTGCACTGGACAGCCTTGGTAACTGGCACAAACGGGAGCCTGTAAGTCAGGTGTCTATCTGGCAGAGAAACATCATTCTTATTTTACGTTTGGCCGAATGCTGCCTGCTGCAAGCATGATGGAGGAACACATAATAGGATCCCTTTAAGGAGCTTTCACTACACACCCACTCACCAGTAAAAGCTCCTTTACTCCAGCTTAAACACACACACAAGCCACTGTCTTGGTGCATGCTTATTCAGATAAGTCAATTATTTGTGTTCCGTGCCACAACCACTGTGATTTAGGGCCTTTGAGCCTACTAACCCCATACAGGTCAACAGCAGGAGGTCTGCTGGACCTGCCAGGGCTCTGCAATCATTTGAATCCCTCTCCATATACCGTGCTGTAAGCTAACATATGGAGACCCTCTGCTATTGACCTAGAACATATAAAAGACACTCACCCATCCCCGTCCAGGTGGATCAGGGTGTCACTCCACAGTGGCAGCACCAAGCCCATTGTACAAGTACTACTGTAGTAAGAAAGAGAAGGTCAGCCCATCTGCTACAGCATTATGTTATTCAAATTTCACAGTAATGGTTGCAGATGTTTGCACTCATTTGAAAAAAACAAACAAAACCCCCTCCTCCCCCCCCCGAAGAATCCCAGTGTTGCTTCAGGGACAGAGCCAGCGTTGTCTACAGGTGTCTGGCAAGGATCATTAACCAGGTAGAGGGTACGGCAGTAGTCTTTAAAGCAAGCTTAAACGGTTAACACACGCCCAGGAGAAGAGCAAACAGGATTCAGAAGCAGCAAGCTTTATGCAGAAGGTCAGAGGATGCTCAGTTTTCAGTAAGCTCAAGGCTTTCTTTACAGATTAGTCCTTCTCGGGCTCAAGTGGTTTGGGTCTAGCTCTGATTTTGCAATCATAGCTTTGTTGTCTTGTTTGTCCCTCAGCCACAGCTGCTGGGAACTGGGATCAGTCTGGTGTAACAGCAGGGTGACTGGCGGCACGGCAGGTTAGCCATCACAGCTTGTCACCCGTTGTTGACTCCTGCCCCTTCTTCTCCCTCCCGCACCTCAAGGATGAGCACAACAGCCAGCCCAGACAGACACCTCTTGGCAATCCCACTCCTCTCTCCGATGCTTTGACCTCTTTGCCCTCACAGTCACCTGCTTTCTCTAAGGCTGAGCAAAAAGCCAAGTTAAAAGCAGAAGTCAAGGGATGGAAAAATGGCAGGGGTGGGGGAACCCCAACACAACCTGCACCAGGCTGTCAAATGAAAAATCTGAATCTCGTAAAGCTGTAAAGTCGGTCCACAATCAAAGCAGCACCTTGAAGAGGAATCAGATTCAACTGCCTTCTGTTCTTATGCTTTGCAGTAACTGCTCTCAAATTTCCACAAGCCCAAACACCCCTGTCAGTCCCTGCAGCTCCTGAGAGCTGGGGGAAGAGGGCGAGACTCGAGGCTTCAGAGGGTCAGCAGACACGAAGCCCACATGCCTCGGAGCGACTGGTGCCCAGCACAAGGAGACACTGTGGCACGCAGCTACTTCTGTTGACAACATGAGATGAGCTAATGGAAAGATGTGTTTTTAAAAGGCTTCCCAAGGTGGCCAGGGTATTTTTAGTGCTACTGTTCAGCAAGCACTTATCAGAGACCATAGCAACAAGTTTACATTGAGTTATAAATACCAAGTGGGCTAGGGGAGGGTGTATCAGACTGACCATCCAGAACCTGAGTAACTCCAGCAGAAAGCTAAAATGACTCTGCTATGTTATTAGAGACTGAATACCAGTGAGCTCTCAGTTATCAAAGGTGGCTGTGCTGGTGTACCACAGCCAACAGCGAGCTCCAAGCTCACAGCAACCTGTGCAAGGACAAGTTGTTCTTGCACTACTGCCAGAGCATCTCTGAGCTGCAGCTGTGTGCACACACACAGGGAGGGAGCCAGGAGCCAGCGGAAGGATCAGGATGGTCCTCCTTTCTAGCAGGCATCACTTGAGCCAAGCATCCAAATAAAGTCAATTGAAATTAAGTATGGTGGCTGTTGTGATCTGCAGGCTGTTCAGAAGGCCATTTCTTAGCCAACCAGTTCAAAAAGATTTTCTAGTGACCCTGCTAATCACCTGAAAGTAATTTCTACCAACTAGGGTCCACTAGCAAGACTCATTCCTCTACCAGTTGTGCCAGAACTAAGCATGTGTATGAAACCCTCCAAAATGGTTTAAATATCCAAGTTTTTCTTTCCTTGTGTAGGCCAAGACTTACCTACAACCCTTTAAGAGAGCCATGTGTCTCCACGTCCTCTCCAAAATGCCCAGTGTCCCTTTCTAAACTTGAAGCTTCTGCCTGCGAAGCTGCTGGGGGTGCTGCCTCCTGGCTTACAGCCACTCCAGCAGCAAAACCTGCTTCCCAGCCACATTCTGCAACCTTCTGGAGAGGTCAGCAGCAATTTAAATGAGTGAAGCAAAAGCACTAAAACCTGGTGACATACTGATGTCTGGGGAGAGCACACATCGTGTAGGATCTGCCAGAAGCAGCTCTGACATTCCCATCAGACCCTTTGTGCATGACCTCGAGGCAGGGCTGCCTGACAGTCACTTTCTTACTAGCTGCTCTCCTGAACCCTGACGTCCAGCTTCTCTAATTGCAGCTTTTCCTTTCTTTGCATCAGAGTTGTCCCTGTCTTTGGCGTGCAGACGCAGGGCTTAGGGACCTCACCATGCAGAGACACTTAAGTGCACTTAATGTCTTCACACAAGCCTGAGGTTCGGAGCTGTTGCCTTTCATTTTCCACCTCCTTTCAAGAAACGAAACGGGAATTTTCAGTCTCAAGAAAGGCATTCAGCTGGAAAATCTGAAGCAGTCTAACCCCAGCAAGCACGAACACCAGAGAATGATTTCTACACTTTACTCAACAAGTGGCTCAACACAAGGACCTTCCCCACCTGGACACTGTGAGTACCTGTCATTGGAAGAGAAATCCATTCCTAGGACAATGCTCTCTTCGGTGTCTTGTCTGCCGTTGGTGGACACTACCACCATGTATCTAGTGCGGTTCTGGTAGGTACTTTCCAGTCTTACAGCCTAAGGGAAGGAAGGGGAGAGATGAGCAGCGCAGCCAGCAAAACACACACTATTACCTCTACAAGCCTTTTCATGCTGAGCGACAGCGCAGAAGCAGTGATGCAGTTTGCAGTGGTACGGATGGCCCGCACTGCTCGGCTGGGTAACCAGCAGAAGAGGGAGAAGCGACTCACTCTCTCACACGGTGCCTTCCTCAACAGCTGGGATGTCCCTGGTGCCTTCTGCACCCCTTGCTGCAGGCCTGCTCTGTCCCACCGAGGCTGCGTTTAACCAGTGGCCTACAAGGCTGGCTGTCGCAGTCCTTGGACCGGTCCCAGCCTCGTTAGCTTCACACAGTGTTATATGCTCAGCGAGACAGACGGGTGCTGAACGTGCCCTCCACCTCACAGAGGGCTTTGTCCAAAGAGCTAGAGCTTTCCTTTAAACTACTGTGAGCTACAACAGCTCCAGTGAGACTCTTTCCACCACCTTCCTAGATGGCTGGACAAATAGTATCTAATTTATATGAGGTTTCCTGCTGGTCCTTTGAATTTTTCCAGCAGCTTCCCCAGCGCAGAAGCAACCCCACTGCCTAACATCTGGCAGGAAAAGATTTCCCTATTACTAAGGTGCACCCATGGTTGGATTTGGATTGCTCAGAAGAGGCGAAAGTCATTGTGCCTCGTTTCTCCTACTACAACCATGTGCACTCCAGTGCCAAAACAGAGATCCAGCAGGACTGGAGGATGCCTGAAATCCACCCCAAACCAAACACTACTGACAGCATTCAGAAAGTGGCCGTGCAGCGAAGTGGTGAGCATCAGACCCACACCAAAGCTCCTGAAAGGCTACGCTGAAGTGTAATGCCCCTCCAGAAGCCATGAGGAAGCGCGAACTGAAGTGACTCCAGCAAGTCTTCTTACAGACGGGCGAGCGAGGAGCCCAGGGAAGGGAGCCCTGCCTTTTAGGTTTTGCCTACAAACATCTGCAGTACGCAGCCTTTACTTGCAACGCTTTTTGGACTCTGTTCCAAACCATCTGTAGTTATTTTAATTGCAGGATTCCAACTAGAGAAGCCAGGACATCCCTAGAAAGGAAGTCTCTTAATTATGTATACTGAATCTTAACTTTGGACAGCCTAATCCAACCCCAAGACGCTGTCTGGCTTCAGTGTTTACCTTATTGTTAAACTGCTTCTTGAACTTTGAGCAGGGCTTGCGGAGAGCAAACACGGGCAACGTGGAACCCTCACAGCCCAATCTGCTGCAACAGGACCCAGCTGCTGAATTCCTCGTGACCCAGCAGCTGAAACTCGACGCGGTGTTTGACATCCTTCACAAACCAAGCCTAAATTCGTCAAAGACCAGCAGCCCTTCTGAGCCACTGCTCGTGTGGACACTTCCCAGTGGCCCACGGGAGCTCATGGCTCAGGGAGCCCAGTTTAAATCGCCTTTTTACCCTTAAAAAAAAGAGCTCACAAAACAGCTATTGTGTGGAAACTCTCAGGAGTAGGCTGCTTTTCCCCATACGCCCCTATAGTTCTTTCTGACCTGGTCTTGAGGCCAGAATGGCACCTCTGCACCTAGAGAAAGTCCCCTCTGACCTCCTCACACCCTGCCTGTCCACTCGCCAGTAAGTTTTGGCCACAAGATGTGGCAGAGTCTGCAACAAAGGTTAAACCAGCGCGTGGCAGTCAGCACAGAGCTCGCCATTGCCCAGGAGTGCTCTGTCGCAGGAGGCTATGCTGAGAGCGGCAGGGAAGGCTTCCAGTGGCGTTGCAGGGAGGAGCAGCTCTAGTGATCGGGGGTGGAATAGCAAGTGCAGGCAGGAGACGGTGTTGACCACATACATCTTCTAGACTTGTCCAATGGGACCAAAGACTAACAGAAACTACCCAAATGCTGATGCCAGCAGACAGATGTGCTCTGTACAATGAGAGACTGTGCCCCACCCCATCTCTTTAAGATAAGTCATGCTGAAACCAGCCTTATTTTCCTTCTTGCTCCTTGAGTCACTGGGATTCCTTTGGAAACACGGAGGATCAAAGTGGTCAGGCCTTCAAGGTGTGTATTCTGCCAGAGACAGCTGTTTCTACAACTAACCACTTGTAGCAAAACAGAAAGGGTGCTCTTCAACCTAAAAGAGCAAGCAATTACTGAGGTCTTGGTGGTTAAAGTCATTATCTACATTAGGAACCAAACCTCAGACAGAAACAAAGACTTGCCTAAAACGGGAGCTGACAGACAACAGCTGCCCTGCGTCCAGGGCATCCACACACGAGCTCTGTTCTGCTTCTCTTGAGGACAGTCCAGCAGCAAGACGACTAACATGATCTTACTCACTTTGCTAAACCAAGCTAGTTTGGCTAGCAGTACTGGGAAGTATGGTCTTAATGGAAGACCCTTTAGAACATGGCTGGACAAACAGCGGCCAAAGGTCACGTAGCTTCAAGTCACTGGGGTGGAATTTTCCAAGGACCAATTAAGAGAAACAGGCATGGCTTATTGTGGCTTTCTAGATCCAACATTTACACTCTTCCCACAAAGCAAAGAACCATGGCTGGAGCAGATAATGTGTTTTGCTAAATCTACGAGAGTAATAAAACAGCAAACTTGGCATTCTAAACCAGCCAACCTCCAAAGTTACTATCAGTGCTCCAACATGCCCATCAAATCACAGATTGGTCTCTAACCTTTTCATTAAGCTCTAGTTCACACGGTCACTGAACAGTAGGAACATTCCAAGTAAGTGGTCTGATGCCTTTTAAATGAACATATTTGAAATTCCACTCAGCCTAGGGAGGATGGCCTAGCTTCAGGGACTGTCAGGAGATAGATGGAAGGTTCTTTCTCAATAGCTTATCTATATAGTGCTAGCTTTCTCCTCGATTTGGGGAGGTTAGTTATAGTCTGTTCATGAACAAGAAATTCTCTGTAGTCCTTTCAGGGCCAGCAACACTTTCCTTAGTTTTAGGCTCACCTAAACACAAGCCAACTTTATCTACTGCTGCATTCTTGCTTTGTCAGAAGTGTGATGTGGCGTTTTACCAGCCCTTACGAACAGCACATTCCAAGAGCTAAGTTCGTACCGACTTTTCGTCTTTTTCATGCTACTCAATAGTAGGTGTTTCATACAGCACACTTCTCATTTGGATAGCTGATTTGAAGACAGAAAGTGCCCAACTTTCTGAAGTCTTCTTTTGTTATTGAACACATGTGAGCAAACAAGTCTCCACTCTTAAGCTAGGGGAATACATTCAACCAGTTTCTACTCTTTTAACTCATTTTCCTCCTTCTTACTGATCTTACACTGGTACCGTTGCTCTAACCCTGCTCTCACAGAAGGCTAAGAAACTCTGCCAATAGCTCCAACAGAAATAAGAGTTGTTCCAAATTCTAAGTGTAGGTTTATAGAGGATTAGATTCCTCTGCTGCTCTCTGAGCTGTGAAGTCTGGCCTCCAAATGACAGCAGCCAGCGCAAGAAGAGAATGTATTTCTCTCAGTACTGTTTATATTTCAAATCTCATTTGTATCTACTATTTTATGAGAGAGTCTATTGCAGCTCTGCACACTCTTCGTTCGTCAAGAATCAATTAAATTCAAGTAGACTATCGAACTTAACCTCATGCAAGATTTCAGCATTCTACATGTAGCGATGAACAAAAGGGTTTATGTCTCAGCCCACAAAGTCCTTATTCAGCTGTTAAGGCTAATTTGTCCCAAATCACACAATGTAGCCAGTGATATTGCTGAACAATGACTTGTTCAATCGCTTCCAATGTTCTAACCCTGGCTCACATTTTGAACAGCACTGAGAACCCCCATTCTCATCACTTTCACTGAAATTTTAGTGACAGCAAGGTGCGCCCGACAAAGTTTGGGAGCAGGTCCTTTAGTGTGCTTACAAACACTGCTTATGGCAAGTTATTTTCAGTGGTCATTTTTAAAGTTAAAGCATTCCATAGTAACCGTGGCTGTTTCCTAGCCATACTCACAAGATCAGTCCAGCTCTAGCACAGCTCAGAAGGATGCAGCAAACCAGAGGTGCCAGAATAACACTTCTGATGCTGGCAGTCCTACTTTGGGCATACGTTGCTGAGAAGCACCAGGACAATACAGGAAACAGTCTTCAGGCTACTGAGTGATGAGAGATGCAGATCCACTGCAGTCATGCCTGATCTTGTGGACCACTTCAACACGTCCCAGACAAAGTCCTCACCGCTGCTCTTTAGCTCTGGAGATCTTTAGGGCAGCGTATCAACGTATCAAGACAAGGTTCAATATAGGTGTGTAGCTACGTGGGGATCCTACATGCTCCTTTCGATTAAGCCCCAGCCTTTTGGGATGCAGCAAGTCAGGAGAGCAGAGTGAGGAACACAACTGAAGTAACATGGGAGGGCAGGTGTTCAGGTTGGTCAGACATAAGTCACCTACTCTTGATTTGAACAGGACACCAATCTAATCTACCCAGCTTCTCTGGTAATTGTTACAGCACTTCTTGAGGGCATTAAGTACTCAGTACTTGGTTAAGCCAAAGGCAGTCTTCTCGCCACACAATTTGTCTTGCTGAACAACCAAATAAGCAGGCCTGTCATAATTAGCTGCTTTTCTACCTTTGTGGTTGCAAAGAAGACTTCCCAAACCCTCTGATGAAACCACTCAAACATACACACACCACTGCTTTTATGAGTTACACCGGTGTATTTTTCAAGTGGAACTTAACCTTTATATTCATTAACAGCAGATAAGCAAAAGTCAGCTTACCAGTCTGATGTTGTCTTCCGGGCGGAGCAGTATGAACATGGCCTGCAGGTGCTGCTGGAGATCCCCTGCAGGGAAGAGCAAAAGGTGAATGAACAAAAATAGCTTTAAATCACATGCGAGTTCCTGGCTGCCCAGCGAGAGCAAACGTCCACCAAGAAACCCGACACATCACCGTCAGCGTTGTCCCTTCCACCCACTCAGAGATGACAAAACTCCACTCTTACTCAGCTGCTCTTTGCTCCGTGTGCTCACCTGTTCCCATCCCACCACGCTCTCTCCTGCTAAATCCTGTTATCTTTCTAACAGAGGTAAAAAGCATTTCAGTATTCTTTGATCCTTTAAAAGACAAAGCAAACTAGGTAGAAATAGACCCCACCTCACGGTTCAACATCTCATTCCACCACGCGCTTCAAATCAGGAACCTGCCATTTCTTCTACACCAGCTTAGTGCAAGACTACTACCTAGACAAAAGTATCCCCTTTCAAGTGAGATTCAGTAGCTCTTAGAGCAGCACATGCCCACATATGCTTACGTACCCACCCCACCTAAAAGCAGCGAAGAATCGCCACTGAAAAAAAAAAAAAATAAAACAACTAAAACTTGTAGGGCTGCTGCAGCCTCTCTGCTGGTGGGACAGAGGCAAGCTTGTGTGGAGTAGGCTACGCTGGACACTGCATTCCCTGCTCCCCGCTCCCTTCCTCCTTGAAACACATTTCAGCATATGGAGAATGAGTCAATGTCCTGGGATTGCATTTTTAACTGGAGGTGGGAAAAACTGAGGCACTCTGCAGTGCTAAGGAAGTCACACACGAAGTACCAGCGGTGACAGGCACCTGAGGCTCCTTCCTGCCCGAGGACATTGTTCCCAGTGCTGGTGAGGCTGGCACGTGCTTCCCTAAACAGCAATTATTTAGGGAGACAGGTAACACAGGAAAGGCCAGCTCATCCATCAGATGGTTGTCCTCCCAGGGGTGCAGTGGGAGACAGGATTTGCCCACGTCAACACCAGCGCACAATCCTGGCAAGGCTGCTCAGTTCCAGCAAGTTCCGGCTGCAAGCGCAGTGGCAATCGGTGAGAACTGGAATCAACAGGCGAAGGTCCCTCTGCTCCAGGCGGCACCTCCTGCCCGCAGCCTGGCAGAGCCCAGCAAGTATCTGACTCATGAGGCATTCACGTGTCTTAGGCAGCTTGAGAGGAAAGATGCTTCACCTTAGTTTTTCCCTCCCCAAAGTGCAACAGTTCCCACCCATCGATGCCAGTAATTCAACATCAGGAACCAGCTTATGAGTTGAAGTTTCCAGACTTTAAAAAATACACCACCAGGACTACTGGATTATCTCAGTAGTTCAAAAAGAGAGGAAGTTTCTAAGACAACCCTTTCTGCAAGGCTTAGTGAAGGAGCTCCATTATTCCTCATCCTCAGAAAGTTTATCATGCTCCTCCCTGCTTGCCAGCCTGTCCTGCCAGCCTTGGAAGCTCCAGAGCTGGAATGTAAAGCATTGCTTCCTTGGCCAGCTTTAATCGACTTGCAGCATTTTCAGCCCCAAACACACAAGGCATTTTGTAAGCTTCCTGGATTAAGAAAAAGCAAAGGAAAGGTTTTAGCATGCCAGAATCAGCACAAAGATATTTGCTGGCATTCGTGGCACGACTGCTGCTTCCTACCACATTGCCCAGCAATGGGCAGATGCTTTTGCTTCCTTCGAGCTGGCAGGCTAGGTGCAAAGCATCAGCTAGGGTGGGATCTTTAAAGCAATTTACAGTATATCAGAGGTGGTAAAAGCCTCAGGGAAGTTCCATCCTTTTCTGGCCTCCTCCAGCGCTGTTGGAGTGCAAAAGCAAGCCCGGCATCCCACAGAACACAGCCCGCTTGCTACGCAGTACAGGGCGCAGGACCACCCAAGCCAGAGGAGTGTGGGCAGCCGGTACCTTATCTGGCCAATCTGCCAACTAGCGATTTCCACTGCTGAAGATGATATGATTAAAGAAATGGGTATGAGCATTAATTATTTCCTGTAATGCATTTACTCTTTATGCTGGATTCCAGCACCTCTGATGGATTACAAACGGAGGTTGGGATGGTTACACAGCCTTCCCACAAAATGCTCTCGTAGCCCCTTGAAACACTACCGCATCCACAGGCAGCAATTTCATACTGGAAAGTTATGTCTGCTCTTCACTCTTCTTCCAATTCTGTGTGCCAGGGATAAGTCATGACACACACAACGGAATGAAAGCTGAGCACAGACTATCAGAGCCCAAGAAAGGAGACAGTTTTCTTTGCCACACGCTCTGCCAGCTCACTGCAATGGCTGGTGCACCCCTCAGAGCCACACTCCCTACATCACTGCTTCAAATTTGGTTGCCCAGATGTTTTGCTCAGGAAGGCAACACACTGATCCCTTGGTGCCTTGGACTCCTGGCATATATTGTAAGTTAGAGAAGTTCACATAAAAGAAAGATGGTGAACGCTCATACAAGTGTCTCTTCTCACTGAAACGTCCAAGCACCATAAAAAAATACTATGCCATTCACCTCACCTGACAAGCAGGGAAACCAAGGAAAGGACAAGTACTGACGCCTCATTAAATCTCACTCCATAGCTGAAGAGACAGGAATAAAGAGAGTCTTCTAAGAACAAAAATCCCATCCCTCAGGCAAGCCAGCCTCAAATGCAAAACATCTTGCTGTATGGTAATTACAACACACCGGATTTGCTTTCTTGGCAACCTGGCTTCTAAGAGCTCTGGGCTGATTAGACGAGCAACTATTTTCCACCAAGGTCTCCAGACCTCATCCAAGTCAGCTGTAACAAGCAGATGAGGCAACAACAGAGACGCAAAGCTGTCTGCGCTGCCTTGCACGGGTTCACAAGGGAAACCATCCAGATCTCCTCTGCAAGGGAAAGCCACGGCAGCAACTGTCAGGTGGAGACCTGGGCTTCAGGAACGCAGAGGACTTCGGAGAGAGAAAAAGCCAAGACAGGTCAAGCTAAACTTTTGCAAGAATGCTGACTGCTTTCACACAGAAGACCATTTCACGTCAGTCTCAACCAGAAAGGTCAGCATTAAATTAAGTTTCAGAACAATTTATTTCCTTTTGACAATGTAATTAATGCATCTCACCCGGAGCAATTTGGGTACTGCTTGTACAATGTCTGACTGGAAGTATGTAATTAACTGCCTTCTGGCTTAAACTCTTTCTATAAAGATTTTTGTAAACAGATTTTGAGGTGAACCAGTCATCGGCCAGCTATCTCTGCCAGATGTAGAGCTGGATGAGTCTGATGGTATCAAAGCATAAAGAACCATACACCTGGAACCACACCTAATCATCCTTCGGTGGTCACTTTTTGACAAAGAAAGTTGACTTCAGCCTCTCTGTTTCTGTCTCTGCCCCATATGCAAAAGTCTGAAGGTCTCAATGTTGTTTTTTTCCTGCCGATTGTTTAGCGGAAGGGAAAACCCCCATGCTATCCGATCCCCGTGAAACATCATCAGTGAATAAGCACCACATACTCAATAAAAAACAACCAACCCTGAAATGTTTGAGTTTCATTATTCAGACCGACTTTCCAAACAAAGAGTCAAAGCAAAAACACAAATCAAACTTTCAGCAGATAAAGGCAGTGGAATTATGACTGACTCCATATTATTCACTCCACTCACACGTCTGAAAAGTCACACTGACTTTGCTCAGAGGTTTCTCCACCATTACGTGGAGGTAAGTCTCCTCCCATTCTTCCATCATAACCGGTTACTCTCAGATCTGGAAGGGCAATTACTCATCCCGTATCATACCCTCCAGCTTCTCAGTGCAATGCATGAAGGTTTTGATGGCAATCCTCCAGACCCCCTCTCATACACAAATTACAGGATGATATTTTGGGGGGCAGTTGTTCTCAACTCTCCGTGATGTCACGGTTGCTGCCCTGATGTCACTCGTTTGATTTTGCAGGATAGAGAGAGTACTGAAATCTTTTTTTCTATCAGCATTAAATACTACAGTCCTGAGACTGGCAGGTGTAGCTTTAACACCCACCTAGTGTAAACAGAATTGTGTGTCATCGGGTCAGAACGAACTCAAGAAAGTGGACTCGGAAACACGAGGGAGCAGCCAAGCCTCAGCCGCCGGATGCAAGGCCTTACCTGCATGCTTGTTGCGCCGGTGACTGATCCTGGGAGCAGACGAGCCATTTCCACGTGGCAGGAAGAGAGCTGCACCTTTCACAGTGAGGAAGCTTTCGCTGATGCTGTGAGGGAAGAGACAAACCGCGAGTAAGGAAAACTCTGTACTGCCTTTAAAAGGAGGAAAGCAATGGAGCAAGAGAGGTTCAAGGCATTGAATGCATGATCTGTTCTGTTGCAAGGAAATAATAAACACTGAATTATTTTGTTGGTAAAGAACTTCCCCCCCATGTAAGTGCTGCAAACATTTAATGCATTAACTGAAACCAGCATGAACAGAGAAACACTGAAAAGCAGAACACACGCCTGGTGCCACTCTGCCTGCGGAGGTGGAACCCGAGCAGGCAAAGGGGATTAACCTATGGCTACATTTTCGATTTGAACTTCAAGATGAGAGCGCCACATTTCTAAACGGCGATTAATACAGCAAGCCCACGCATCTCTCTAATTACGGACTCTGTTAACCCTGCGCTCTGTGGTTCAGACAGAGCTGATGCCCTGCAGAAATGAATGTCTCCCTTCAGCAGTTAGCCAAAAGAAAATTAGTGTACATAACAGATTAAGAAATCATGAAACTACTGTCTATGAGTCTTATGATAATTAACTCTCAAAGACTTCTAAATTAAAAGCAAAACTGTAATGCTGTTGAATTCAGACCTCACTTGTTGCCTTGATTTTGCCCTTTCTGAAGTCACATGAGGACAGAGGCTTCTGGAAAGGGGCAACAAAGAGTTCTCAAGTTCTGTGAAACAGCTGATACTTTACACACATCTTCCTGCAGTTTTTTTACAGATGCTGTGGCTCACGGAAAAAGCGAGACACTACAGGTTTTGCAATTAAGCCATCCTGCTGCATAGTTAAGGGTTCCTGCTTTTCTCAGAATTGGTAAGATAGTCACACAGGCTTTGAAGAAAGCCAGATACAATTCTACAGTCAACAGGATGGTTGATGAATATGATAAGACAGGATGGGAGAGTCCCTGGCATCGTGCACACCAGCAGCTCCGTGCCTTGAAGACGACGTTGGCTTGCTCTCCTCAACTGAGCAAGAGACTAAGAACTTCTTAGTTCCTTTCTCTGCTTAAACAAATACCAAAACTAATTATTTATTCCCTTCCTTTAAGAGACAAGGGCTGGGAAATAATAATAGAGTAAAAAACCCCGCCACATATTTGAAGAAATTCCATGTTACAAAATGCAGGTGAATGCTAGAACGTGCCAAATCACCCCCCTTCTTGGCTATTTCAGCCTTTGCTTGCTCGGCAAAGCGCTGCCTGCAGCCCCGACTCCAGGGACACGTCTCGGTGGCTACTCAATGGCAGGCACACGCCCAAGCACGACAGAAGCTGACAGCATCACAGAGAAACCACACATGACTAAGAACCAGGACACAGCATGGCACGAGCCTGTGATCTTCTAGTTTCGTGATTTGTGGTTGACCGCTTTAGCAACAGGCTTTGCCAACTACGTTTTTATAGGTACAGGAATCATAAAAGCTTGTGTTAAAGTTGGATTTCCCCCTAACCTCAAGCAGATTTCTGGGCAGCTCTCCGTTTTGCTGGTGGGGATATCAAAAAAATACAATTTTCTGAGCTCCAGCAAAGCAAATGCTCATGTTCAGAAAGACCACCTTTTTTAAGCCTGTAGCACATCCCAATGTTACGCGCTGTCTGTCACAACCTCAGCACTCCTCCTTCCTGACAAAGTTTCTCCCAGGCCTATCTTCTAAAATTAAACCAGATGTCAAACATGCTCTGGATGTTTCAATAAACCCAGAATTTTACAAAGGAAAAAATCACTTGTCCCAAATTAAAATGGATTGGAGATCTTTCCTTATGCTTAAGTTAAAAAAACAAACAAACAAAATATCAAACTCACTGGGCACACTCAGCACGGATGTTTCCTCAGACCCTTCTTACATGAAAAATTGTGACTGAGCCTTTCTAGCTTTTGGCGATCAACAGATCCTCTGAAAGCCCTTAAAGTTTGCTTAAAGCCCGAACTAGAGAAACACTGAGTTATGCCAAAGCCACTAACTTTAAAAAAATAAATAAGGATTTAAAAAAAAGAAAAAAAAAAGAAGGAAAAAAAAAATTAATCTTTCTCCCTCACTTAGCTCAAACACGACTCGATTCAGCAGTGCCCGGATGTTCTGAAGGAGTACACGTCTGCTTTCAGACCAACACCCACAACGGGAGCGGAGCAGGAGAGCACGCCGTGCGTTGCTGAACCTCTTCAGAAGACAAGGCAACGACGCAGAAGACATTCCCTCCTCCTCCTCCCTTTACAATCTCACTCGCAGAGGCAAAGGAGTTTCAAGCTGCGCAGGAGGAGGAAGAAATCAGCAGTCACACCCAGCTTTCACATCGTTAATTTTATCAGCAAAGCCAACAACTAATGTTAGCAACCCTTTAGCCTGTGCCTAAGGTTTCCCCAGAAGGTTGAATTAGCAACTATTTTTAGCGGATAAAGCAGCATGTCATTAGAGGGCTAGGAGGTTAAAAATCCTTTCACTTCCATCACTTTCCCTTATTGCCAGTGCTGTGCCATCAGCCACCTGTCTGGAAAGGAGACACGGACAGAACTGAAGAGATTCCCATCAGGTACGTCCTTCCAGGAGGCCACCTTCTCTCCTGATGCCATGGAGAGCCTTGCTTTGGGCCATTAACCACAAACCACAAGTTTGACTTGGTAAGGCTAGGGAAAGGGAAGGTAATTTCCCCATACGAAGGGTCGGAACAGCTGAAGAATGTGGCAAAGCAGATCATTCTTGCAGAGCAGGGAGGTGGAGCGGGCAGGGCAGCACCTCCCACCAGGCAGGAGTGCAGGAGATGGCCACCAGCACCGCCGGGAAGAGACAGGAGCCTTGTCCTTCTGCCCATTACAGCTCCGGGGACACGGCACATTATCGGCACTCTCGGCATCACCTACCACAAACTCCCGACACCAGACACACAAGACATCAGTACCCAGCACAGCACCCTAGCAAAAAAACCCATAATACAAAACACACAACCCATCAACCCATCCCGTGCTCTGAGATTCAGGCAGTAAAGAAAATCTCTGGAGGAAAAGCAAGAAGTTGACAGGACAGTCCAAGCAGCTGTAATAACAACTACCAGTGAAGCTTAACACCGTTATTTCGGGAGATGCTGATTTTGGTGCCTGTGATGCACTGTAGGGACGAAAAAAGTGATTGCTGACCTGATGTCCCCTATACCACCCACGGTGGGCTGCTCTGTTTGGGTCCGTCCTGTCCGGATAGCCCCAGCCACGATCTTTTCCAAAAGCGTCATATTTTGGTACAAGACCACCTTTGGATACTGCCCCCAATACATAAGGAGAGAGGATTCCTCCTTTAGGACCTCACAGCAGGCCCCACTCTGAGATCCTTCAGAAACACAAAAGGTAGAAAAGACGTGTGTGAAAAGGGCAATCAGAGGCTCAAAACACCTCTCACCATGTGCGACAGCAGAGCCACGCAATATCCACTACTGATTTTGCCCTGCTGACAGCTCGAAGGCTCCCAAGTGTAACCTGGGCTTTGAAATACTCCATAAAATCTGGTTTGCCAGAGCCGTCCGGAGCTTCAGCGCTCTTTGAAACAATCTCCTGGAAACAGACCGGGTATTTAAAGACACTAAACGTGGTTAGGGGAGAAGTTGAGTCCAGGAGAGCAAAGACAGGGAGCCAACTTGGCAGAGGTAGCAGAGCCGAGTTGTATTTTATCAGCACACCAGGCTCGCCATCAGTCCACACACCGGCTTTCTTCCGGAGAAGACTTACGTGGGGCATATCTATGAAGCAGTCATTAAAGCTACAAGCAGCCCTCAGCACTACAGCTGGGCGAAAAAAAGCTTCTGTTCCATGTTTAGCCCATTCACCTCTGAAGTAGCAATCTTCAGCCCCCCCGCTCCGTGCCAGTTGTAATTCATTGTTCACTGGGAAGAGAACCAATGTAAGCAGGAGGCTTCAGCAACTCCTACAGAAATTACTACTTGTACCAAGTTTTCTCCCAGGCAGAAAGGATTTTGTAGAAATTGTACAAGGCACATAAGCAAAACTACTTAAAGGTTTCTGCACAAAAGGCACTGACATTCCCCCCCCGAAGATCCAGCTTCTAAACAGCAGCAGCAGCACGCAGCAGCGATTCCCCTGCGCCCTGACTTGCTGCCCGGCAGCTGAGCTCCTCGTGCACAAGGAAAACACTGCATGTCTTATACCAAATTCTCATTACGCTACAAAATCAGGGAGCCACATAAAACTTACAGATGGCAAACAAATAGTGAATGCCTTCCCAGCTGTTACCCTGCACAGCTCTGTTCATAAACTGCAGGCACAAACACCAAATAAACTGTTTTGAAGACACATGAGAGAAGATGTTACTGGTTTATGGACTACGCCAAAGCGCTGCGGTAACACGAATCATCTGACGCTTTGCCACGACCGCCCCGCACGATGCCTTCCACGTCAGGGGCTGCTTGGCCGGAGTGCTGCACCACCAGCCAGGAGGGAGGCGAGTCTGCACCACCCACCAGTTTCCAGTGAAAAAAATCCTCAGTCCTCAATGTAAAATACTCAGAAAGGAACCTTCCAGTCTTCTTTAGAAACTATTTCATAAAAGAAAAAAAGGAGAAAACACCTTTTTGGAGATACAGCAAGGAGAGCAGAGAGGCACCTGAACAGTTTCTGGCATTGTTTTATCCTAATAAACACTTAATTAGGTTATTGCGAGCCTGAGGATGACTTTCCAGTTGGCTCCTTACTCATCGAAGCAGCTCCCTTACAGCAGGCTCTGTCCTGTCCAGCCCAGCCCCCAATCGGGCCCTTGCCAAGTAGCACAACCGGCAGAGATGGCACCTTCCCTGGAGAGGCTCAGAAGAAGTCCTCCCACCTGGTTCCCCGACACGACGCAGAGGAAGGGGTCAGCATGGCCAGGAGCAACCCCCCCCGCGCTGTCACTTCCTCCCACCACGTGCGGGCAGCAGCACGGGCACTGCGGGGGGGTC